AAAAAAGAAGAAAGACGGAAAAAAAAAAAAAAAAAAGAAAAGAAAAGAAAACAGAAAGAAAGAATAAATAAGACCAAGTATTTAATAGCAGTACAGGGTGACTATGGTCAATAATAATTAAATTATAAATTTTAAGCAGGGCACGGTGGCTCAAGCCTGAAATCCCAGCACTTTGGGAGGCCAAGGTGGGTGGATCACTTGAGGTTAGGAGTTTCAGACCAGCCTAGCCAACATGGTGAAACCCTGTCGCTACTAAAAATACAAAAATTAGTTGAGTGTGGTGTTGGGCACCTGTAATCCCAGCTACTCAGGAGGCTGAGGCAGGAGAATCTCTTGAACCTAGGAGGCAGAGATTGCAGTGAGCCGAGATCGCGCCACTGCACTCCAGCCTGGGCAACAGAGAGAGACTCTGTCTCAAAATAATAATTATTATTATCATACAATAATACACATTTTAAAATAACTAACATAGTATAATTGGATTGTTTGTAACACAAAGGGTAAATGCCTAAAGGGACAGATACTCCATTTTCCATGACATGATTATTATCAATTGCATGCTTATATCAAAACACCTTATGTACCCCATAAATATATACAACTACCATATATCCACAAAAGTAAAAATTTTATATTTAAAAAAAGTAAAAAAAATAAAATTGCAACATATTTCTCAATAGTCATATTGGAAGCTGGATGAGAATCTAACTAATGTTTTCAAAATACTGAGCAAAAATTATTTCCAAGTCCAAATTTTATATCCAGTGAAAGCATAAATTATGATGGTACAATAAAAATATATTTAGACATGCAAACTCTTCTAAAAATTTTCATCCCGTGCAACCATTCTAAAGAAACTACTGAAGGATATACCCCACAATATTTAGGGAGTAAAATCAGAAAAAGAAAGACATAGGATTCAAGAAACAGGGTTACAATCTAAGAGGGAGTTGAAAGGAATTCCCAAGTCAATGGAGGAGGAAAATCTCAAAACGATAACTGAACGGGATGCTTACACAACCATCTGTAGATTAGAGAAGATTAGAAACTGACAGCTATTTCTTTAAGCAAGTGAAACTGATAAAATAACTAATATATTCTAACATATTGAAAAGAAGTTTACATAATTAGGGAAGAAATAATACCGAGTACATGAAATAATAAGTAATCAGGAATATCAATACAATTAACTACAGGGAAAAAAAAAAACTTTTGTGCAAGAAAAGTTATCATAGTACTTTATATGATTCAACTATGATAGTGTCTATATAAACACTGGAGTGTAAACACTAAATATTAATCTAACCAAAGTTATGATATAACTATATAGAGATGATGGAGTGACAAGAAGTGAGCATATGTGTTAGGGTTAGAGGGAAAAAGAAAAGGAACTAAATTCATCTTCTAAAATCAGAAGTCAATATATAATATCTAAAAGTAAAAAATCAAGCAGCAGTATAAGAACACTATGTAGAGAACCTGCCTGCTGCTGCGTTCCCATCTCGCTGCTCCAGCCTCTGGGGCACATTCCAACCTTTCAGCCTGCGACCAGCTGAGAAAAAGAATTACATATTTTTTTTGCCCCATACATACCTTGAGGCGAACAAAAAAATTAAATTTTAACCATGAGGAAAATAGTGCATATCCAGGCTGGTCAGTGTGGAAACCAGATTGGTGCCAAGTTCTGGGAGGTGATCAGTGATGAACATGGCATCAACCCCACTGGCACCTACCATGGGGACAATGACCTGCAGCTGGACCGCATCTCCGTGTACTACAATGAAGCCACAGGTGGCAAATATGTTCCTTGTGCCATCCTGGTGGATCTAGAACCTGTGACCATGCACTCTGTTCGCTCAGGTCCTTTTGGCCAGATCTTTAGACCAGACAACTTTGTTTTTGGTCAGTCTGGGGCAGGCAACAACTGGGCCAAAAGCCACTACACAGAAGGGGCCAAGCTGGTTGATTCTGTCCTGGATATGGTCTGCAAGGAGGCCGAGAGCTGTGACTACCTTCAGGGCTTCCAGCTGACCCACTCACTGGGCGGGGGCGCAGGCTCTGGAATGGGCACTCTCCTTATCAGCAAGATCCGAGAAGAGTACCCTGATCACACTTTACAAAAGAAGACATACATGAGGCCAATAAAGATATGAAAAAATGCTCATCATCACTGGTAATTTGAGAAATGCAAATCAAAACTACATTGAGATACCACCTCACGCCAGTTAGAATGGTGATGATTAAAAAATCTGGAGACAACAGATGCTGGAGAGGATGTGGAGAAATGGGAATACTTTTACACTGTTGGTGGGAGTGTAAATTAGTTCAACCATTGTGGAAGACTGTGTGGCGATTCCTCAAGGACCTAGAAACAGAAATTCCATTTGACCCAGCAATCCCATTACTGGGTATATATCCAAAGGATTATAAATCATTCTACTATTAAGGACACATGCACACGAATGTTCATTGCAGCACCGTTTACAATAGCAAAGACCTGGAACCAACCCAAATGCCCATCGACGATAGACTGGACAGGGAAAATGTGGCACATATACACCATGGAACACTATGCAGCCATCAAAAACGATGAGTTCATGTCCTTTGTAGGAATATGGATGAACCTGGAAACCATAATTCTCAGCAAACTCACACAAGAACAGAAAATCAAACAGCGTGTGTTCTCATAGGTGGGTGTTGAACAATGAGAACACATGGACACAGGGAGGGGAGCATCACACACTGGGTCGGTTGGGGGGAAATGGGGAAGAACAGCGGGGAGTGGGGAGTTGGGGAGAGATAGCGTGGGGAGAAATGCCAGATATAGGTGATGGGGAGGAAGGCAGCACATCACACTGCCATGTGTGTACCTATGCAACAATCTTCCATGTTCTTCACTTGTAACCCAAAACCTAAAATGCAATAAAAAAATAAAAAATAAAAAAATTTTAAAAATAACACTATGTAGATATATGGAGTTACGTAAATACAAAAAGAGCCAACTAAAATAACTGAAAGTAGCTATTATGTGAAATAAAAATTGTAAGTCGGGATGGGTACTGGTGATCTTGGTTTTTCAGGGTTTTTTTGTTCTGTTTTTTGAGATAGAGTCTTGCTCTGTCACCCAGGCTGGAGTGCCTAGTGCGTTCCCAACTCACTGTAACCTCTGTCTCCCAGGTTCAACCCATTCTTGTGCCTCAACCACCCAAATAGCTACAATTACAGGCACCTGCCACCAAGACTGGCTGAGTTTTCACAGGTAATGATAATTTTGTAACAAGAACTGTAAACTTATTTTACTATTTTTATTTATTTATTTATTTATTATTGCATTTTAGGTTTTGGGGTACATGTGAAGAACATGTAAGATTGTTGCATAGGTTCACACATGGCAGTGTGGTTTGCTGCCTTCCTCCCCATCACCTATATCTGGCATTTCTCCTCATATTATCCCTCCCCAACTCCCCGTCCCCCATTGTCCCTCCCCTATTCCCCCCCTACAGACCCAAGTGTGTGATACTCCCCTCCCTGGGTCTATGTGTTCTCATTGTTCAACACCCACCTATGAGTAGGAACATGCGGTGTTTGATTTTCTGTTCTTGTGTGAGTTTGCTGAGAATTATGGTTTCCAGGTTCATCCATGTCCCTACAAAGGA